GGCGCTCCCGTCCGAGGGTTCGGATCCCGCATACAGACTGGTTCCCGCTCACTGGCTGAGCGAGGCGCGGGAGCAACACCGAGGGTTGCAATCCCGTTGCCGGTCCCTGGTCCAGTACGGGGGCGACACTGAGGGTTGCGATCCGTTGCCGGACACGGAAAAAAGACAAAAGACAAAAAATAAAAATAAAAAAATAAAAAAGATAGATATCATACAAAGTATCTTCCCTGACCACAACAAGATGAAGTTAGAACTCAAACAGAAAGAAAAGTGTAAAATTAACAAATATGTGGAAATTAAACAATGCTCTTGTAAACAATCAATAAGTCAAACAAGAAATCACAAAAGAAATTAGAATATACTTAGAGACAAATAAAAACAAAAACACAATATATCAAAACTTAATGGAATGCAGCAAAAGCAGTACTCAGAGGGAAATTTATAGCTATGATGCCTATGTTTAAAAAGAAGAAATATCTCAAATTAATAATCTGACTTACACCTTAAGGAACTAAAAAAAATAGAGCAAACAAAACCCAAAGTTAGCAGAAAAAAGGCCATAACAGATAAGAGCAGAGACAAATGAAATAGAGGAAAAGGGGCTGGCAGGTTAGTTCAGTTGGTTAGAGCATGGTGCTGATAACACCAAGGTCAAGGGTTCAGATCCCTGTACTAGATAGCTGCCAAAAACAAACAAAGAAACAAACAAACAAATAAATAAATAGAGAAAAAGAATAGAAAAAAATCCATAAAACCAAAAGTCAGTTTTTTGAAAAGATTAACAAAATGGACAAACCTTTGGCTAGGCTAAAAAAAAAACAAAAGAGAGAAGACACAAATAACTAAATTAGAAATGAGACTGGCAACATTACTACCCATGATACAGAAACAAACAGAGTTATAAGAGAATACAATGAGCAACCAAATAGCAACAAATCAGATAATATAGAAGAAATGGACAAATTCTTTAAACACATATTTACCTAAACTGACTCAAGAAGAAATAGAAAATCTCAACAGATCTACAACAAGTAAAGATATTGAATCAGTAATTTAAAATCTCCCAGCAAAGAAAAGTTCTGGACCAACATGGCTTCGCAATTTAGTTCAACCAAACATTTAAAGAAGAATTAACACAAATCCTTCTCAAACTCTTCCAAAATTAAAGAGAAGGAAACACTTCCTAACTCATTCTATGCAGCCAGCATTACCCTAATACCCAAACCAGATAAAGACATCACAAGAAAAGAAAATTACAGACTAGTGTCCCTTATGAATATAGATACAAAAATCCCCAACAAAATATTAGCAAATAGAACCCAACAGCATATGAAAAGGATTATTTACCATGATTAAGAGGGATTTGTGCAGGAATGCAAAGGTGGTTCAACATAAAATCAATCAATGTAATACATCACATTAATAGAATAAAGAGAAAAAAACACATGTAATCATTTCAACTGATGCAGAAAAAGGCATTTGACAAAATCCAACAATCTTTTATGATTAAAAATCCTTAGAAAAGTAAGAATAGAAAATTTCTCAACATGATAAAGGATGTTTATGAAAAACTCACAGCTAACATGGTATTCAATGGTGAAAGATTTTTTTTTTCCTTTAGTCATTTTTCTTTTGTGCTGGTGTTCTTATTTTTTTCTTTGATAAAGGATGTTTATGAAAAACTCACAGCTAACATGGTATTCAATGGTGAAAGATTTTTTTTCCCTTTAGTCATTTTTCTTTTGTGCTGGTGTTCTTATTTTTTTCTTTCTCAATGGTGGAAGATTGAAAGCTTTCCCTCTAAGATCAGGAATAAGACAAAGATGCCCACTTTCACCATTGCTACTCAACACTGTACTGAGAGTTCTACCCAGAGTTATCAGAGAAGAAAAGGAAGTAAAATTCATCCAGATTGGAAAGGAAGAGGTAAAACTATCTCTATTCGCAGATGACATGATCCTATATACAGAAAATCCAAAAGAATAGACAAGATACCTACCACAGTTAATAAAAGAGTTTAGCAAAGTTGCAAGGTACAAGATCAACACACGAAACTTAGTTGTGTTTCTATAAGTCAGCACTGAACAATCTGAAGAGGAAATTAAGAAAACAATCCCATTTACAATAACATCTAAAAGAATTAAATAATTAGGAGTAAATCTAACCAAGGAGGTGAAAGACTTGTACACTGACAACTACAAAAGGTTGCTAAAAGAGATTAAAGAATACCTGAATAAATGGAAAGACATTCTGTGTTCATGGATAGGACGACTTTACATTTTTAAGATGTCAGTACCACCTAAAATGATCTACAGATTTAACACAATGTATATCAAAATGCCAACAACATTTTTTGAAGAAATAGAAGCAGATCCTCAAATTCGCATGGAATTGCAAGGGGCCCCCAACAGCCAAAACCATCTTGAAAAAGAAAAATAAATTTGGAGGACTTAAACTTCCCAACTTTGAATTTACTACAAAGCTATAGTAATTAAAACAGTATGGTACTGGCATAAGGGCAGACATATAGAACAATGAAATAGAATAGAGAACCCAGAAATAAACCCAACCCAGAAATAAACCCTCAAATATATGGCCAAGTGATTTTTGGCAAGGGAGCCAAGACCATTTAATGGGGAAGGGACAGTCTTTCCAACAAGTGGTGAAGGGAAAACAAGATATCCACATGGAAAAGAATAAAGTTGAACCCTTACCTTATACCATATACAAAAATTTAAATGGCTCAGAGATCTAAATTAAAAGCTAAAACTAAAAGAGAAGAAAACATTGGGGGAAATCCTTATAACATTGGAATTGGTATCGATTGCATAGATATGACACCAAAAGCACAGACAACAACAAAATAGATAAATTGAACTTCACCAAATTAAGAACTTTTGTTCATCAAAGGACTATCAAGAAAGTGAAAAAACCTAGAGATAGAGAATGGGAGAAAACATTTGCAGATTGTATATCTGATGATGAATTAATATTCGGAATATATAAAGAACTCCTACAACTTGACGACAAAAAACAAACAACACAACTCGAAAATGGGCAAAGGACTTGAGTAGACATTTCTTCAAAGATATACAAGTGGACAATAAGTACATGAAAAGATGCTGACCGTCATTAATCATTAGAGAAATGCAAGTTAAAATCACAATGAGATACAACTTCACACCAACTAGGATGGCTATAATCAAGAAAATAGATAATAATAAGTGTTGGTGGGGATGTGGAGAAATTGGAACCCTCATGCATTGCTGGTGGGAATGTAAAATAGTGCAGCTACTGTGGAAAAGTTTGGCAGTTCCTTAAATAACTAAAAATAGAACTACCTTATCACCTAGCAATTCCATTCCTAAGTATACATGTAAAAAAAAATCGAAAGCAGATATCTGTACACCAATGTTCACAGCTGCACTATTTACAAAACCCAGAGGTGTAAACTACCCAAGTGTCTATCAACAGATGAATGAATAAATGTGGTATACACATTCAATGAAATACTACTCAGCCATAAAAAGGAACGAAATTTTGATTTTGATATATAGATGGATCTTGAAAACATTACATTCAGTGAAATAAGCCAGACACAGAAGGACAAATGTTATATGATTCCACCTTATATGAGGCACCTAGAATGCGCATTCGATAGAGACGAAATCGAATGGAGGTTGCCGGGGACTGGGTCAGGGTGGTTTGGGGAGTTATTGTTTAATTGGTACACTTAATATTGGGGCTGATGAACAAGTTTTGGGTATAGATAGAAGTGATGGGTACGTAGCACTGTGAATGTAATTAATGCCACTGAATTTTACACTTACAAATGGTTAAAACGATAAATATTATAGTGTGTATATTTTACCATAATAAAAAACATTTTAAGTGGGGAAAGGATGTAAACGGGTTGAAGTTTTATAAAAAGTGGTCAGGGAAGGTGTCAGTCCAAGAGTGACCTTTAAGTAAAACCCTAAAGGAGGTGGAGGACCATGTGGGCATCTGCGGGAAGGGCGTTCTGGTAGAAGGAGGAGCACGGACAATGGCTCTACCGGGAGTGTGAGAGGCATATTCGGAAACAGGGAGGGGGCCAGTTGGCTGAAGCTGAGCGAGCCAGAGGGACTGGGAGGAGGTGAGGGAAGATCAGGCCATTGTAAGGACTTTGGTTTCTGCTGGGAGTAAGCAGGAGCCACAGGAGGGTTTTGAGCAGAAGGACGTGATCTGACTTGAGATTTAACAGGATCCAGTAGAACAAAGAATGCCTGGGTACCGAACTCACCAGCCAGATTGCGAACCACAGGAGGAAGCCCCCGGGGTTCCCCCCGGATGCGCTTCCCCAGCCACCACCGGGGGGCAGCAGAGTCTAGCCGAGCGCCGAGCAGGCTGCTTGGGGCGCCCCGCCCGGCCCCTCCCTGGGGCGCAGGTGGCTAGTCCCCAGGAATCCTTAGGCGGAAACCGGTCCCAGGCCCCGCGCCTCCGTTCGGCCCCTTTAAGAGCCAGTTTCCGGAGGCCTGACCTGGGGGGCTCCAAAGATGCCCAGGGGCCGAACCACAAGTTGGGAAGGTAGAGGGGAGGTGGCTAAATCTTCCGACGTCGAATTCCAACTTTTCTTGGGCCTGATACCCCTCGGGCGTCCCCAAAGGGGCAGAGCTTTCCTTCTAGGGACTTCACTTGGTTCTTTAAGTCGTCTAACTAGCAGGCACAAGAGGCCCGCAGCGCCTCCCTCCACCCAGACCAGAGGAACCCCGGTGCGAGTGGAAAAGCCAGGCTCTACCGACGAGCTTCCCGGGGGGGGGGGGGCGGGAGGGAAAAGGTGACAGCAGGACCCGCCCCCTATCAACAGGTGAATCACCCCAAGTAGGTCTCTGTTCTCGTGGATTTCGGTCCGCTCGGCTTGGCCGAGAACGAGGGGGCCGCCCGGGACCCAGGGTTTGCGGGGGCCCTCCCGACGGGCCGGTCACTTGGTTCCAGCCCTGGGGGCCGGAACTCACCTGGGCCATCCCACTTCCGGGGAGGGAGGCGGAGGAGCCCCTCCCCACAGCCCACCCCTAAGCCCAGCCCTCGGCTCCCACCCTTGTGTACCTGGGCCGATCCATTCCTCAGAGCGCACAGGGGGAGGAGTGGCTTGGAGAGCCTCGGTGGGTCCAGCAAGTTCCTCCCCGAAAGCCGAAAGCGTGCACTTCGTCCACGTTGTTTCCGTTCACTAAAACTCCTAGGACGCGGCAGAGTGGCCTTGGAATAGGGACAAGGAACGGAAGCGGGAAGGGGAGGAGCGTTCACCCCTCCCGGTCTTGGTGCGCGCCGCGCCCCCTACCCTCCTGGTACTTGGCAAAGGACGCACGGGCTCGGCGCGCCCAGACGGCCGTGATGGCGCTGGTGGCCCGCGGCCTGTCCTGTGGGCTGGGTTCCCACCCGGCCACCGCAGGCCGGGGCGCGGTCGTCTTCGTGTGGCTATGGCTCAGCACCTGGTGCACAGGTAGGGGTGTGGGGCTCCTGGTGCTGCGGAACGGCGGAAAGGCACTCTTGAAGGGGCAAGGACAGAGTTGTACGCGGCCGAGCAGGCGGGAGAGCGAGGGAGGGGGGCGCACCCAAACTGGGACCTCCCGATCCTCTGGGTCTTAGGAGATCGCTGTGTGCCGGAGTGAGGGGAATTCCCCATCCATGTCGGGGAGTGCTTCCCCCACCCTTGTATGGAGAATGCAGGAAGTGAAACTCCCCGGAGCGGCAGGGAGAAAGGGACCCTTTGTGGGGCAGGCGCGAAGGACAGCCAGATCACTGGGAAAGGCTGGGGACTTGGGCGCATTCCGAGATTTCTAAGTGTTAGGGTAACGGGGAAAGGACACACTAGGGAGGGCTGGATCAGACTCTTCCTGGAGGGAGAGATCAAGAAACAGTGCCCAGGCCTCCGGTGGGTGTGGAATTGGAGACACCTCACCCGCCTCCATCGGGCTCTGGAGTATCTGTACATGAGAGTCTGGTAGGACGGACTTATGCACTTGAAACCATCTTCTGCTGGCAACCTTTTACCTGGAAGGGATGTTTGTTTGGGTGGGGGTGAGGGGGCTCTATCTTTCAGCAAGCACTTTTGGCGCATTCATTTGAGGTGGCTTTGCGTAGGGGTGGTGGGAGGCTGATGGAGATATTGTGGGGACTTTAGGGACAACGTTGGCAAAGCAGTTCAGTCAGACAACTCCAACCCCCTCCCCCGCCCACTTCACAAAACCCCGGGGAACTTGGAACCTTTAGAGGTTTGTTTTGAAGTGGGGCCTTGCGGGGGTGGCGGGGGAGACAGGGGGCATCGCTCTGGCCATTTGGGCTTGCCTGTACAAGCCACAGAGGGATGTCCCTTTCTGTGAGAGTGGCAAAGGGAAGAGGGGACTGGATAGAGGCCACAGTCTGGAAAGAAGGATGGAGAGGACGTTCCAAAGAATCCGGCCGTGTGACCTTCTAGCTGTCACTTCAGCCCCATGGGTCTATAAAATGGGCATGATTATCGTAGCTACTAGCTACCTTGCCCGTCCTGGGGATTAAGGAACAATGTATGCCAGGCGTCCCGTGAAACCATACTCTTGTGAGCGTCAAGCTAGATGACAAGTGATGTTACTCATTCCTGTTGAAGCACCTCCCTGACCTCACAGCGATCCCTGCTGACTCTCCTTTTGCCTCAGCCCCTGCCAGCGCCATCCAGGTGACTGTGTCAAACCCCTACCACGTGGTGATCCTATTCCAGCCCGTGACCCTGCCCTGCACCTACCAGATGACCACGACCCCCACAGTACCCATTGTGATCTGGAAGTACAAGTCCTTCTGCCGGGACCGCATCGCTGATGCCTTCTCCTCAGCCAGTGTTGACAACCAGCTCAATGCCCAGCTGGCGGCTGGTAACCCAGGCTATAACCCCTATGTGGAGTGCCAGGACAGCGTACGCACCGTCAGGGTTGTGGCCACCAAGCAGGGCAATGCTGTGACCCTGGGAGACTATTATCAGGGCCGGAGGATCACTATCACAGGAGGTACGTTGGGTGGGACGGGGGAGGAGGCAGGGGGTGAGGCTGGGCTTGGATGGTGGGGCTGGCTTCCTCCTACCCAACCTGGAGTCCTCACCTGGAAGCTCTTGAGCGCCAGTGTCTGAAAGGACCGATGAGGGAAAGGATCCTTCTGTCCATCCATCCATTCCTTTAACAGCAAAATTTATCGAGCACCTAACATGTACTGTTCTAAGCCCTGGGAATGCAGCATTTGACAAAATCATCAAATCACTTCCTTCATGGAGCTCACACTGCAGTGAGAGAGACAAACACAACATATACTGTCAAGTGCTTGTAGATAAAACTGGGTGATGGAGAGAGATAGGCAGGGGGTTCTGTAATAATACTAATAATATCAGCAATCGGAAGTAAAATTTATATGCATATACTGTCAAGTGCTTGTAGATAAAACTGGGTGATGGAGAGAGATAGGCAGGGGGTTCTATAATAATACTAATAATATCAGCAATCGGAAGTAAAATTTATATTTGACAATTTATAAAGGGCCCCGTGTGTGCCAGGCTCTAATCCAGGTTTACATGGATTAGCGCATTCAGACCACACAGTAATTTAATGAATAGATTATATTACTGTCATTTTACAGAGGCCCAGAGAGAGGAAGTGACTTGCATAGGGGCACACAGCTAGTAACAGAGCTGGGATTCTAACTCAGCCACTCTGGGTCTAGTCTCCAAGCTCTTAACCCCTTTGCTTGCCCAGGATGGTCAGCAAAGGGCTCACAGAGGAGGTGGCATGAGTGAACTGGAGGGACAAGAGATTTCAGTGGAGAAAGCCTACAACTTGCCAGGCACTTTACACATTCTCCCATGGAGTCCTCTCTGCCACATTTTACACTCGCAACAGCTGAGGCACAGAAAGGTTAAGTAGCTCATCTAGGCACACAGGTAGGAAAGGGCTGGAGTTGGGATTGGAACACAGGCAGCCCTGACAGCCCTTGCTCTTAACCATAATGGTGCCTCCCGGTAGGAAGTGCCTGTTGAGCCTAAGAAAGGAGCAGTGGGGAAGTCATTCATTCATTTATTCATCCATTCATTTGGTATTTATTGAGTATCTACTGTGTGCCAGGAGCTGTTACAGGTGCTGGGGATAGAGTGGTGATCAGGATGGTTGAGGTCCCTGCCGTCAAGGAGATGACATTCTAGTGGGGTGAGCGTGGCAGTAAACAAGCAAACAAAGAGAGAGGAAGAGAATTTCAGACAGTACTAAGTGCTACAAAGAAAATAGCACCGGGTGATGTGCTATGTGGAATGACTTGGACACACCCACCTTAAGACCTCTGCGAGTGTGATTTGAGGAGGGCCTGGGACTGGGCCCTAAAGGATGTGAAGGCAGAGAGGAAGGCAAGGGGTCGCAGGGAAGAAGTCTCCCCCATTAATGGACATATTCTCTTACTGTCTTGAACAAGGATTAGAGTTTTAATCTTGGGCACGGACAGGGGCAGAGGGGGAGGGAGCATCCCTTTGCAGACCCCTAGAGACCAGGCTGTGGAGCACACTCCTTCTGTCACTTATAGACCATGGATAAAAGGCAAGCTTCCAGGGACTGATCCTGCCAGTCCTGTTTCAGAGCAGGAACCAGACTTGTCCTAAATTTTCATGGGCAGCTCAGTTCTAAGCATCCTGCTGTTCTTGAGGTTGGAGGGCCTCTTGGGGGCTCAACCTATACAGGTCCCCTCCCCTCTAACCCAGAGACAGCTCCAGCCTGGACCAGGCGTGACTGCATATCCCCCATCAGGACAAGCCAAATACTGAGGCAGCCCTCAAAGGCTGGCCGTAATCATGCCTCCTCTGCTCAGCCTAGAACTCCAGATGACCCTGATGCCATATAGGTGGGGGCGGGGTGGGGGGGGGAATTCATGCTCCACAGCCCTCACAGGCCCAGTCTTTCAAGCCTCCTTGATCTGAGCCAGTGTTTGCCATGATTGGTAAATACCCATTGTGTGTCTGTTCTTTCAGGAAACCTAGTAGCCATGAGCACTTCCTCCACTTCAGCTTTGAGGATGGGGAAAGTGGACTTCCCTGGGGTCTTCCTAGGTTCACCAACTGAACTGGTTTTAAAAGTGAAAGTAAGCCTGGGCAAACCAGAAGGTTGTTTGCCCTGGGTGTACCTCAGCTCAGGGTGGATCCTGCCCCCCACCATCCCTCCCTGTTTGGGTGATGTGGGGTGTCTGCATAGGAGGCCTTGTTTCTACTTCCTCAGGCTGCTTGGGCCACATGTGCCCCCCACTCTCTGCAGCACTAGGGCACAGAGCCCTTGGGACCTTGGAAATCATGAGGGCCACCTCTTGTCATGTGTTGATAAGGAACTAGAGGCCAGAAATGTGGAGGCAGCCCAGCTTCTGTTCCCATTGGAGACCTGGCATCTTCTCCCTGCATCTGAAACGATGAAGCAGTGCCCAGCCCATGTGATCCCAGGGCCAGATGGGGACCAGGAACTGGGTGCACCTTGCAGGAAGGGGGTGGACTCATGCCTTAGGATTGATCAAAAGAAGCCGGAAAGCTGTATTTTTTGTAGGTTTTGAAAACATCACACAGGCCAAACAAAATGCATTGAGGCCTAGATCCGGCCCATGAGACCCCACATTTCAATTCCTGACCTATAGAATCCTTTGCCATGGCAGGTGGTTCCTGCCTACCTCTTTCGCTTTGATCAGGGACCAGCTCTTGAGCTCCAGTGTTGGAGAAGCATGGTCACAGTCTGACTTAAAGATACAGGTGGAAAAATGATGGGCCAGGAAGGCACTGCAGAAAATCTAGAGGATTTGGGAGAATGTAGTTTAGAGTTTTATGAGGATTCAGTGAAAGAAGATATGCAGAGGGCCCAGCACGTAGTAAGAGCTCAATAAACAGTGGCTAGACGCCTGACTGTGGGGGGGAGTCTTGTCCTCCACTCCCTCATGCCTTCTCCGAAGGTCACCTTATCTGAAGGTCTTCCCTGCCTCCTTACTTACAATTGCATAACCCCCACCTCCATGCCTGGTACTTCTGTCTGCCTTGCCTGACTAATTCTCCATACTGCGTATCATCATCTGATACACAATGTAGTTGAGCTTTTTATTTGTCTCCCTTTCCCAGTTAGAATATGAGCTCTATAAGGGCAAGGATTTATATCTGTTCTCTGTAGCAGTGGTTCTCAAACACTGTGGTCTTAGGGCCTCTTTACACTTTGTTATTGAGGTCTTCAAAGAGCTTTTGTTTTTATAGCTGGCAAACTGAGAAGAGTTTAAAAATATTTTAAATGATAATAAACTCATTATATGTTAACATAAATAACATACTTGTTATGAAAGAAATAACTATGTTGCTGAAACTAAACAAAAAAATTTTTAATGAGAAGAGTGATGACACTGTTTTATATTTTTGCAAATCTCTTTAAAGTCTGGCTGAATTGAAGAAGCTGGATTCCCAAAGCTGCTTCAATCTTTCGTGATATCTATCACACGTCGTGTAGCCTCTGGAAAACTCCATAGTACACTCATGAGAGATTAAGGGGAAAGGGCAAACAATGTCTTAGTATTATTATGAAAATAACTCTGACCTCATAGAGGCCCTGAAAAGGTCTTGGGGAATGCAGGGTCCATAGATATGCTTTGAGAACCATTGCTCTCTAGTATACCAGATGCCTCAAATACTGCTGGAACATAGGCTGCACTCAATAATTAATTTTTTGAATGAATGAATCAAGTGTCCACTTGAATATTGCCATGTGCCCAGGATGGTGGAACTAACAAGAAAAGCTAAGAAAGGTCAGCATGAGAAGAGAGGGAATTCCTTTCTGCTCCTGGCCAGGCACTGGGGACGCAGCAGTGACTGGGACCACGTTCTCACAGGGGCCATAGATGGTCAGTCCCTAGGGTGGCAGATGTAGTTCAGCATCTGGGCAGGAGAGCCAGGTGAGCTAGGATGGCCAGGGAACACTCCTCTAAGCCAAGGCTTGAGTAACGAGAAGGAATCAGCCCTGAGCAGGTCTGAAAGAACACAGTGCCGGGAAGACAGAATAACACGGGCACAAGCCAGGCAGCCCAGCACAAGGGGGGACAGTGCAGAGGCCGGTGTGTCTTGAGGCTAGTGAGCTGCTTGAGTAACGAGAAGGAATCAGCCCTGAGCAGGTCTGAAAGAACACAGTGCCGGGAAGACGGAATAACACGGGCACAAGCCAGGCAGCCCAGCACAAGGGGGGACAGTGCAGAGGCCGGTGTGTCTTGAGGCTAGTGAGCTAAGGAGATGGAAGGGGTGAGGGCGGTGTGGGAAGGGAACCAGTGGCCAGATCACGCCGAGGCCCTGTGGGCCCAGGAAGGTTGGAATGATGTAGACAGACATTGTTGAAAGGAGGGTCTTCCTGTGGATGTGCAGCCTCCCTTCTGAAGAAGGAAGAAGGCTTTGGTTCTTTCTTTCCTTAAGCAGTTGTTAGGTGCTCCCAGTGGGTGCCATGTGCTGCTCCCACAGAGGGTAGCAGGTCTATGGCGCAAGTTGGTAGAGGTAGCCAGGTCTGTGGGAGCCGGAGCAGCTGGGAAGAAAGTGGCCAGAAGCCGAGAGGATTTCCTGGCTGGGGTGCCATCCTGTCCCGCACAGGCGAATGACTGAAGGGATTTCACTAATTAGGGCCTGAGGAGTGGAGAGGAAACCGGATGTGCCGAAAGACTTTGATTAGTGGCGTAATTATCAGGCTCCTTGCGTCCCCAAGCTCTGGGCCTGACCTGGAATGTGGGGATGGAAGGGTGGGGGGTGGACTAGGGAACTGGGCAGGTCTCTTGCTCCCACATGTCCACACCTGCTCTCTATCAGTGCCTGGGCATCTCCTGACATCTGGAATCTGGCCTATTTATCTCTGCCTCCTTACTCTGGGCCCATGCCCCTGGGTCCACACTGGGTCTGTGACAGTTCACATCAGAGGACTTAGGATGACGGATCTAAGAGGTGGTCCAGAGGATGGTTAGAAGTTGAAGAGCACAGGCTCTGGAGTCAGACTGTCCTAGCTCCACCACTGACAGCTGTACACCTTTGCGCAGACTAGGTCATCTCCCCAGACCTTTTGTCTCATCTACAAAACAGGAATGATAGTGCTACCCACTGCACAGATGTCTTGAAATCTGTGTTGAGTGTCTAGAACAGTGCATAGAAGGAAGTGTGCCCTTGGTAAGAAGCATTTTCCACTTGACTTACTGGCAGCCCCTAACCTCTTGACCCCTCTCCTGAGGTGCTGGGCCTGCTGGGGTTGGGCGCCCCCTCTCCAGAGGTGCACTCACACCATCTCCTCCTGACCCAGATGCAGACCTGACCTTTGAGCAGACGGCGTGGGGGGACAGTGGTGTGTATTACTGCTCGGTGGTCTCAGCGCAGGACCTCCAGGGGAACAATGAGGCCTACGCAGAGCTCATCGTCCTTGGTGAGTGGGGCTGGGCCCTGGGGGCCTGGTAAGGGGGGATGGGAAACAGCCCCTTCTGCTGTCCCCTTGTGTGTGTTCACCCTCCACCCGCTAGCTCACTCTCTGGCCTCTGTTGCCTGCTTTGCTCTCCCTTCATATAGAAATTAAAATTGGGAAATTTTTTTGGCAGCTGGTCAGTATAGGGATTGAACCCTGGACCTTGGTGTTATCAGCACCACACTCTAACCAACTGAGCTAACCAGCCAGCCCCAAACTGGGAAACTTTAAAGCAAAGATGCACAAGCACTGCTATGGGTCCAATGTGTCCCCCAAAAGTTCATGTATTAGAAACTTAATTTGTACTTTAACAGTGCTAAGAAGGTGGGCAATCCAATTATGATATTTGAAAGGTGGGGCCTTTAAGAGGTGATCAGATTGTAAGGACTGTGTCCTTGTGAATGGATTGATGTCCATCCACGGAGTGGGGTGCGGTTCTGATGGCTTTAAAAGGAGAGCAGGTGAGGAGGTTAGCTCTCTCACACTCACCCATTCTCACCACGTGGTACCCTGAGGTGCTGTGGAAGGCGCTCACAAGATGCGTTCCTCGGACTTTGGACTTCCCAGCCTCTGAAACTGTAATAAATAAATTTCATTTCTTTATAAATTACCCAGTTTCAGGTATTCTAAGCAACAGAAACAGACTAATACATGGACACAGGCCATTAGCCAGGACAATGATGTCACCATGTGTCACCAAGAATTTCATTTCTTTATAAATTACCCAGTTTCAGGTATTCTAAGCAACAGAAACAGACTAATAAATGGACACAGGCCATTAGCCAGGACAATGATGTCACCATGTGTCACCAATCCTCAGGAAAACTCCACTGTACACTCATGAGAGAATAAGAGTGAAAAAGGCAAATAACATTTTAGTTTTATTATGAAAATGGTTTTGGCCTCAGGGACAAGACCACAGAGCCGCTGATTCACATGCTAATACCCCCTCATGAGGGCACGTGAGGCCATGGGTGTGAGCTCTGGAGTGAGCTTCATTTGTGTGTAACTGTGTGTGTGTGCACGCAGGCCCCCAAGATATGCTTGTGGGGACAGAACTCTGGTGGCACCTGAGGTAAAGCAGAGAATGGGTATGGAAAGTACACAAGCGACAGAATGCATGAACTGGGACTGAACTCTGTAGGTCACAGAACCAGGGCCACATGTGAGTTTTATGGCCGTAGGCACTTTTGCCTTCATGGGCCCCTTCCTCCATTTATAAAATTTATGCTTGTGTTATTATTAAAACAATTCATTATTATACATTCAGAGTTATATATTTTTTTCCGATTGTAAAATAAAATTAAAATGTTTATGAGGGCCCTTGGGGACTGGGCCTACTATGCCTAATGGAACAGAACCATCTCTATCACGTGCGGTGGAACCCTCTGGAGTGATAGGACCCATGTATGAGGAAAAGGTGGAGTGTCCAAGCTGCCATCGAACCTTCAGAACCCCATAGGATATGTGTTGGAACCCTCAGTGTCATGAGGGAGCGGGTGGATTTTGTGATGGAAGCCTTCTGGAAAACAGCACCCACATCTGGAAAGTGGTGGAGGGCAGGAGCCACCTTCACCCTGACCAGCCTAGATCTGGGCATTAGGGGCAGGGGCGGCCTGGGCTGGCTCTGGCCAGCATAATCTCCTGTTTCTCTTTTGTCCCTCCAGGCAGGACCTCAGGGGTGGCTGAGCTCTTACCTGGTTTTCAGGCGGGGCCCATGGAAGGTACGGGGGGTGGAGTGCTGAGCGGGGCTTCTCTCAGGAGTTCCCACACACCACTTACCACTTCTGTCTCTGGTATTCTCTCCCTGACCCCACTAAACATCGCTCGCTGTGGACCCTCCACTAACCCCGCCTGACTCCGACTCTGTGGCATCTAGTGACCTGGCTCTGGGCTGGGGGTGAGGTGGGCTGGGCTGGCTGTGGAGGGGCCTGGGGTGTAGGCAGGGGCTCCTGTGACTGGCGCCTGCAGTGCTCCTCGGGTGGGGATCTGAGCTGCTGGCTCTCTCTCCCCTACCAGAGGCTGTATAGTCTGTGTTGCTCTGGCTAGGTCGCCTCTTGTTTTCTGCCTTATCCATTTGAACCCAGGGGAGGTCCCTAATTTGGGACTGTCCTGGGTTTTAGAGGGATGGGCGGCCTTCTGCTGCTGCACCCCAGCTTCTGGCATGGAGAAGCCAGCAAGGGTTGCAGGTTCCCTGATGAACAGTGCAAATAGCTCTGTGCTGCTGCTGGGCCTGTCCGTCCCCACTCTCTCCCAGGCCTACTAGCTCAGGGCCTGGTCCCATCTCTTTGCAGACTGGCTCTTCGTGGTCGTGGTCTGCCTGGCCGTCTTCCTTTTCTTCCTCCTCCTGAGCATCTGCTGGTGTCAGTGCTGCCCACACACCTGCTGCTGTTACGTCAGGTGCCCCTGCTGCCCAGACAAGTGCTGTTGCCCAGAGGCCCGTAAGTGCCCCTTGTGTGGCCACCCCCACTTGGTCTCTCTTGGGTCCGAGGGGAGGCGGTGGCCATCTGCCTGCCCCCCAGGACAGTGCCACTGGTCTGAAGGTTATGAGGGTAGCAACTGGAGAGAAAGTAGGCCAAGGAGGATCTATTATTTTAGATGATCATTTATTTACATCAACTTTTAATTTATTTTTAATTTTCATCTGAGTTTTTTCTTTTGAGAGTATAATCTATGCATATGGTAAAAAGAAAACGTCAAACGGTGGAAGATACTGGAAAGTATTCACTGGAAAGTAAAGCTCCCTTTAAAAACAAAATCTTAAGTGAAAAAGGTAAGAAACCAAACAAGGTTGACAGCACCACATAATTTAAGCACACACCCACACAAAGACTACACATTTTACACAGATACTAGGTTTAAGGACACACCTAGCATATCAGAGTAGGCACTGTGGAGGGTGGGATGGGAGTGGGACCAGAGCTGAAGAGGGGAATGAAACAGACCAAGCAGGAGAAGGGAGAGAGGAGGAAGTGAGCGCCCTCCTGCTGCTGCACACGTCCCCTTTTTAGGGACGGCTGTTGACAGTTCCTCAGTTTCCTTCAGGAGAATGTCTGGAGAGACCAGCACCTCTGCGCACGGTCCAAGGTGCATTAACAGTAAAATACTCAGCAGTTGTTGCAAGCATGGGCAGGCGGAGGTCTGAGGCCTGGCTCCAGACCTGACCTACTGGAGTCTTTCCCTCTCTGAGTGTCTCAGTTTCCTCCTCTGTAAAGTGGGGCTTATGGCAGAGCTCACTGTACAGGGTGAGTCTGGGCATTTGGTGAACTTGTGTGTACAGCAGTTAGCGTGGGGCTTGGCCTATATAAAATGTTCCACACCCGCTAGCTATTAGATATGGTCAGCCTCAGTAGGGACTGGAGGCCAGGTTGCAGATTAACCCTGTTCTCACTAGGTGGCCTCAGTCAGCCAGCGTTCCTTTTCTGAGCTGTGTTTCCTCCTCTGTAAGGTCCCAACCTCTTGGGGCATTGGGAACATGAAGGGAAGTCTGTACCTAAGTGCCCAGGACTGGCCACAGCTCAATCCATGCTGGCCAATTTTATGGTCATTGAACTCAGGGGTGGGCAACCTGGTTCCTCGAAGCACTGCTCCCCTGATAAAGTTCTAGTGCTCTCTGGAGGCTTATGCTGGCCGTCCCATCCCCTCTGTCTTGTCGTTTTTAGTTAAGAGCTTCTTGCTCATGCAGTGGGTGTTAGCCTGTTTCACACGTGGGGGAGGGAACCCCAAAGGCTGCAACCGAGTTTGCAGTTAACCCACTAAGTATGCCTGGGGCTGATGCCAGCACGGCAAATGCTGGTCACAACACCCCATTTCCTCCAACCTGAAGCACTGTTGCTCCTGACGAAGGAAGGGAACAGCATCTCCCACTGCCAATTATAAAATGGGAGTCACCTGACTAATGAGGGTACTTCTCTAAGCAGGGTGCCGCACTAGCCTTGTGCTTCCCAACCAATGTGGAGGTGAAGGGAGCCTTTCTGAGTCCCGGGGAGGATGCGACTTGCCTAGGGCCCAGAGGCTTTGCCACAGAACCTCTTGCCTCTTTCTGCTGGGAGAAGGAAGCCAGAAGGGTTTGCCCTTGAACTGTCAATCCTAGAGCCAGGTGGGGGGTGGGGCCCATGAAGTAAAAACACTAGAGGAGATATTTTGCTGCTTGGCTGAGGCAGGCAAATTAACTCAAGGCTCCTGGCTCCTGCTTCAAACTGACAGCCATTGCATCAGGGTCTGGTAAGGGAGGACCCAGAAGGCATGAGAGTGGAGTGGGCATGGGATCCCCCCAGGTGTGACTCATTTTTCTAGAGCAAGGGATCAGCCACCAAAGGGAATACTTGATTACATATAGCTTTTGGTGGACCCAGCATGTGGGCTTTAAAGCGACAGCTTTGCCACTGTCACCCTGTAAGCCCACAGGCCCGGGGTAGCCACATCTTCCAATAAGGTGGCTGGAGAGTTGGAAATTTATGCAAAACCTTTTGATTGTCAAATGTTGGCAAACCACCATACTATCTCAAAACATACTGAACTGCCAGATTGGGCCCATGGGCTGCCAGGGTGTACCCCATATTCTAACCTGTAAGGAATCAACCAGAGGTGGGGACTCAGTGAAGCTGACGTCCCCTAGCCTCCGAGACACTGCAGAATGAGGAGGGGCAAGAACCCAAGTGCAGGCCCATAGCCCTCCATACCAGTGTTGGGCAGTGCAGCTCCTGCCCACCTTCTCATGCCGACTGTGTGTGTCCTCACAGTGTATGCTGCTGGCAAAGCAGCCACCTCAGGCGTCCCAAGCATCTATGCCCCCAGCACCTACGCCCACCTCTCCCCTGCCAAGACCCCACCCCCGCCAGCCATGATTCCCATGGGCCCTGTCTACAATGGGTACCCTGGAGACTTCGACAGAAATAGCTCAGGTGAGGCCTGGGGACGCAGGAGCCGCTGGGGTGGGGTGGGTTGGGCATTTGGACACTTAAGGGGGCTGGGGTTGGAAGGAAGACTGGGGGCTGGGAGGGGGAAAGGGCTGGGAATGCAGGGCTTGGCTCCAGGTGGGCAGCCACTGACAGCCAGTCTCCCCCAGTTGGCGGCCACAGCTCCCAGGTGCCCCTGCTTCGGGACACGGAGAGCAGCATGACCTCTGGTGAGAACCCATGATTCCCAGATTGGACCTGCCTGTAGGGGAGAGGGCAGTATCCATCCTCTCAAACTGACCACCTCCACCCCATCCCTAGAAGTCCGCAGTGGCTACAGGATTCAAGCCAGCCAGCAGGATGACTCCATGCGGGTCCTGTACTACATGGAGAAAGAGCTGGCCAACTTTGACCCTTCCCGACCTGGCCCCCCCAATGGCCGTGTGGAGCGTGGTGAGCAGCAGCTTTGGGGTCCAAGGGCTCCTTGAGGCGGGGAGAGGGAAGCACAACTCCCTAATACGTGTCCCAGGATGCCCACTGCAAATCCTGGACATAGTCTCTCCTTCCCTACTATGGGCCCTAGAGAGTATATGAGCCAAGAGGGTGACACTGTTGGACCCCGGGCTCCTGACATTGTCCTGGCCTCCTCCCAGCAGTCAGTGACACTCCCCTTCCCTACAGCCATGAGTGAAGTCACCTCCCTCCATGAGGACGACTGGCGATCTCGACCTTCCCGGGGGGGCCCTGCCCTCACTCCAATCCGGGATGAGGAGTGGGATCGCCACTCCCCCCGGAGTCCCAGGAGATGGGAGCAGGAGCCCCCTGCGGAGCAGGCAAGGGGTGGCTGGGGAGCCAGGCGGCCCCGGGCCCGCTCAGTGGATGCTCTGGATGACCTCACCCGGCCGGGCTCTGCTGAATCAGGGAGAAGGTCTCCCCCAAGTAGTGGGAGGAGAGGCCGGGCCTACGCACCCCCCCGAAGCCGCAGCCGTGATGATCTCTACAACCAAGACGACTCGAGGGACTTTCCACACTCCAGGGATCCCCACTACGATGACTTCAGGTCTAGGAACCGCCCTCATGCTGACCCCAGGTCCCACTACCACCGGTCCCGGGACCCTCAGGACAATGGCTCCAGGTCCGGGGACCCCCAATATGATGGGCGGCTACTAGAAGAGGCATTGAGGAAAAAGGGCCCAGGGGAGAGAAGGAGACCTTACAGAGAAGAAGAGGAAGAAGAGGCCTACTACCCTCTGGCGCCTCCCCCTTACTCTGAGACCGACTCCCAGGCATCACGTGAGCGGAGGCTTAAGAAGGTGAGAGAGCAGCCCCCGTACCCCGACTTTCAGACCTTTCCCAGACCCCTCTCCTCCAGTCTCCCCCATCCCTCCAGTTCACACCCTTTTTTCTTTCTCCCTTGCAGAATTTGGCCCTGAGTCGGGAAAGTTTAGTCGTCTGATCTCACGTTTTGTATGTAGGTTTTGTACTTTTTTTAATTTGAAGGAATAATGATGAAGCAGTTCCCTAAGTCTAATAAAATTTGTAATCACAAGGCCTAAGTCTTCAGAAGAGTTTGTTTTGCTGTGCGAGGTGGCGGGCCGGGCGGCTGCCGTGTGCCTGCGTCTGCAAAACGCCTCGTCCCGTTTTCTCCCCGGGCTTTCGTCCTGGGTCAAGAACCCAACCCAGCCGGCCTTCTGCCTTCTCCCTCTCCCCCAGTCCAAGAGTACGTGCCCCACGCAGCCTCCGCCCAGCCCCTGCGTGCGCGCCCCGGCCCCGCCCAGACGTGCGCATGCGCCCCGGGCCTCTACCTTCGCGCACAGCCGCCGGGAGCGCGCGCGCGCGTCCCCCTCCCCTTCCACTCCCTTTGCCCCTCCCCCACGACCTACTTTACTGTCTC